ATGGAATAGATTTTAAGTGTTCTCACCACAAAAAAAATGTGAGGATAGTGCACATGTTGATTAGCTAGATTTAGCCAGTGTACAATGTATACATATTTCAAAATGACATGATGTACACAACCAGTATGTAAAATTTTTGTCAATTTCAACATTTTTAATAAATTAATTTTTAAGAAATTAAAGGGAAAGACACCTAGAAAATATATATATTATAGAGATATCTCTATAATATATATAATATATATTATATAGAGAGCAATATCTATAATATATTATAGAGAGAGATCTATATAATATATATCATATTTTTTTTTACATATATATATATAGAGAGAGAGAGAGGGAGGAAAGGAGAGACTATATTTGCCTGATAGTGATATTTAACTTTAAGTATGAGTAAGGAAACAGCTTGGGTTGCAAAATCTAAATTCACAGGGCGTTTTAATGCTAGATCAACATGCTAATCACAGCCATATTTTAGTTTATTAAAAGTGAGTATTTCCTTCTTAGACCCCATAAAATTCCACGAAATACCTTGGTTTATCAGTTGAAGACCCAATGGTGGGGAGTGGTTGGGCAGGAAGAAGGCTGCCCACGTATGCCCTCCAAAAGTCCTAAAAAAGAGCTTCTAAACCACTTGCAGATGGGACATGTCAACCACCCACCTTCACTCTGCAAAGATTCCTGCCAGAATGAAGCAGCGAGGAAGACAGTGAATCAAAACTAGCTGACATGTGATGGGCCCATTCTTGAGTTTTAGTGCAATTCTCTGCTAAGTGTGTAAATGCTAAATGTAGTGATTAAATGACATACAAATCTTGTCCATCAAAAAAAAAACTTGAAAAAGAACTGTGTGGGTGTGTGTTTTGAAGGAAATTTCTAAAAGTTCTTATCAAATTGGCTCTCTGAAGATTTACAGAGAGCAGTCAGGAATACTTCCCTTCAGCAAAGAGTTGCAATCAGGGAGAAGAGTGAGCAAGGTAAAGTAAAAGATATTTTAAGACATGGTTATTTTAGTACCAACTGAAATTTCCATTCAGATATAATTTGTGAACCCCTCAGGTGACACTTCCATGCAATTAAATAATACTATAATGACACAATAACAGAATTTTCTAAATCTATCGACCCTTAAAATTTCCTTTAACAGTGAGCAGGCTTTTCCCAACCTCTCTCTTGCCAATTGAGGGCATAAATATGCCAGTCAGCTAGTAGCTCTGGGCATCGGGCACTACTAATAATGATGTCTGAGCAGTATATTTCATTTACAAATTTTATATAAACTTCCTTACAAATTGTTGAATTCCATGCAATTTATTCAAACACTTCTTGTTTCTGTTTTCTAGTTACATTCTTTATATTCACTGTAATAATGTACATTATAAAGAATGAAAACTAAAAGCAGGAATAATCAGGAAAAGTCTCTAAGCACATACACATAGATGCAAATATGTGTATCACGGAATCTGTTAGATCAGAGCCATGCACCTACTTATTCTTACCTTATACGCAGTTCTAACAAGATTAGGTTTCTGGCTCCCCTCCTGAAGAGCGCTGGAAAAAAAGATTAAACGTACAAAGGTAGCATAATATCCTCAAGGTTAACCATCTTGTACCATTTGATGGGATTTTCTTCTTTATTAATATTCTATTGCATATACATACCACATTTCATTTATACATTCATCCTTCGATGGGCATTTAAGTTCTTTCCACATTTTGGCTATTGTGAATAATGCTGTAATTAATAAATAAGGAAATGCAAATATCTTTTGAAATCCTTTTTTTTAATTCTTTCAGAAAAAGACCCAGAAGTGAAATTACCAGATCAAATGGTGCTTAAATACAAATACTGTATGATTCAACTTTTGTGATGTATCTAAAGTAGTCAAACTCAGAGAATGAGAAAGTAGAATGTGGTTGCCAGGGGCTGAGGAAAGGAGGAAGTGGGGAGTTGCTGTTCAATGGGTATAAACTTTTAGTCATGTGCGACGCGTAAGTTCTAGAGATCTGCTGTACAATTATGTGCATATAGTTGGTGATACTGACTGTACACTTAAAAATTGGCCAGTGGGAGGGGGAGGTGGGGAGGGATAGCCTGGGGAGAAATGCCAAATGTGGGTGAAGGGGAGAAGAAAAGCAAAGCACACTGCCATGTGTGTACCTACGCAACTGTCTTGCATGCTCTGCTCATGTACCCCAAAACCTATAATCCAATAAAAAATTTAAAAAAAAAAATTGATTAATCCTGTTATGTGTTTTTTCTTACTATAATAATTTTTTTATTCACAGAGGTAAACAAGAGGTAGCAAAGGCATATGCAAGGTGTGACTGCAACAGCCACTTTGGAAGACAGTTTGGCAGTTTTTTACAAAACTAAATGTACTTTACCATACAATCCAGCCATTGTGCTCCTTGGTATTTTCCCAAATGAATTAAAAACTTATGCTTACACAAAAACCTGTACACAAATGCTTAATCGTTGCCAAGACTTGGAAGGAAACAAGATATCCCTTAGTAGGTGAATAAACAAACTGTGGTACATCCAGCCAACTGAATATTATTTGGCATTGAAAAAATGAGATATCAAGCCATGAAAAGATGTGGAGGAAACTTAAAATACATATTACTAAGTGAAAAAAGCCAACTGAAAGGCATTTCATTATACTATAGTCTAGTATATTATATATATTATATATACTGTATAATGCCAACTATATGACCCTTTGGAAAAGGGAAAACCACGGAGACAGTAAAAATGTTAGTTATTGCTAGGGATTAAGGGAGGGAGAGATGAATGAGAGGGCATAGAGGATTTTTAGGACAGTGAAACTACTCTGTATGATCCTATAATAGTAGATACATGTCATTAAACATTTATCAAAACTCATAGAATGTACAATACCAAGAGTGAGCCTTAATGTATGCTATAAAATGTGGATGATCACAATGCGGCAATGTAGCTTCATCAATTGTAAATGTAACACCCTCATGTGGGATGTTGAGAGTGGAGGAAGTTGTGCATATGAGAACTTTCTGTACTTTCCACTCAATTTTGCTGTGAATCTAACACTGCTCTAAAGAAATTAAGTTTATTAATTGAAAGGTATTGAATAAAATGTATACAATTACACATATAATCTATTATATATAATGAAATAAAGAATTCCTAAAAATAAAAACTCAGATACTTAGGGTCAAGATCAATAACTCTGCATATTGTGCTGGACCCTAGGTGCATCAATGTATGATAGGACAATGCAATTATAAATAACTGATGTTCACAACTGCAGTCTTAACTAACCATTTCACAAATATTTATTGAGCATTTTCCAGGTGACAAATACTGAAGAGAGATGTGGCTTGTCACATCTTAATAAAGTTATACTAATTTTCTGATGATGTCAGTCATAGATAGGTGTTCACCTCTAGTGGCTGTATGGGCTTTTAGTCCAATAACAGCAGAAAAATTAATATGTATGGCACATTACACAATAAGGTAGGAAAATTCCAGTGAGTTCCATATGTGATTCTTGGGAGCTCAACCTGAAACCAACAGAGATTGCTTAAGGTGAGATGATATCCAATGTGAGAATTTAAAGGATAGCTAATATTTAAATAAGAGTATACTGTAGTGATTATTAGCATAGCTCCTGGAATCTTATATTCTGGGTTCAAATCCCAGCTCCACTACTTGCTAGTTGTATGCCTTTAAGGAAGTTATTTAAGATTAAATGAGTAATATAGACAAAGTGCTTAAAATAGTGCATAGGAGAGTTTTGTGTCAAAATTTTAATAGGAGGGTGATGAGAGTGAATGAGCCCAAAAGATATCTACAAAATAAACTGTGATCCATGTGGTCAGGCTATGGTAAGTCATTGTATATGTGCATCCACTCACATGTATGAGTACTAATAATAAATCTGATGTGTTGGAAAAACCTCACAAAACAAAATGGTTAAAAAACAAATAGCAGTTGAGAGAATGCACTTGTGACAAAGACATAGATTTCAATACCAGGTCTGGCCGAGTGATCTTAAGATGATACTCAAACTCTTAACTTCTTTTCTCCAAGATCCATATGGATAACAATATAATGCCTGTGTTATGAGGCAGCTGAGAAGAAGAAATGATATTTGACCTGTGAAGCACAGTGCTTAACAAAGTTATACTAATTTTCTGGTTAACTAAAGGAAGACAATCTCTTTTATTGCAATTCTTTTATTTAAAAAAAATCCTTCAAAATGTATTTATCTGTATCTTAATAGACTCGTAAGGCTCAGTTGGTTATCCAACTAGAATGCCTTTGGTCAGAGACAAGCTATCTTTGTCTTTTCATATGAGGCAACTGATTTCTTATCTTCTCTTTGTCCTCAAAAATCAGCTAAATGTCACCTACATGTAGCATTCCCTTCCTTCCATTCCGCTCCAATATAGAGAATCATTAGTTCCTCAGTCTTTGCAGTCCTCATAATTCTCTATACCAAGCTATTGTAAAACGTATGTCACTGTATCTTACTTAATCCCTTATGCCCTCATTCTACTGTATACTTTTTAAATGATGGGTTGCTTATCTTTGTTCATGTCACTCCTTCACCTTTGCTTCTAATAAGAATTCTAAAAATGCACCTTGCGCAATAGTAATTATAATTAAACTTTTTATATTAAGCACACACCAGGGTCTTTGTTTCCACTCAATTTCTGAGGCTTTATCACTGTCATCTACATATTATAGGTATATTAGAAATTCATGACCATAATGAGAACTTTGAGGACCTGACTAGATTTCAATAAAAGTTTTACTCTAACTGCATTTATCTAATTCATTAATAAAGTTTTAAATAAAAGTTTTACTCCAATTGCTTTTTTCTGATTCATTAAATGTGAAAATGAAAGTTAACACTTGTTGTCCAGCAGCTTCTTTAATTTAAAATGCTTAGAACCCTGAGCTAGCTATTAGCATGATGTCATAGAGGAGGCATTCCTGGAAAGTAATATTACTCATTCTCATCACCAATGTACATTTAAAGGTCGAAATCTGAAGCTCATCATCTTATATGTGGGTAATCACCTTGGAAAGTATTGACTTTTCCCTGTTCCTTCTTCATTCTCAAATAACTGTTCTTTCCTAAAGTAACTTATCAAAGTTTAGCAGCAGGACTGTTACTTTTATTGTGGCATTATAAAAGGTCTTTCTACTTTAAAAACCTAAGATTGCATTCACTGTTTGATTACAACTATTGTTTCCATGAGGATCCAATTTAATTAAGCACCTGGGTTCTTAAGCATCTAGGCTCTATATAGCTCCTTTAATAAATTTATTTATATTTTAGTTTTAAAAGAACAAAAAGTACCAGTAAGATACATAGGAAATTTATATATATATATATATTTCCCTATTAAATTTCCTTTGTATCTATCTATCATTCTAAACCACAAAGATCTTTCTTCGTCGGTTTTGCAGACTCACTACCCCCCCATAAAGAGGGGGTAACCCATAAAGCCAACAGGAGCCAAACGATTAATTAAACTATGGTGCATCAATATCATGGAATACTGGATGCCATTAATCGATATTTATAAAAACTGTAAAATAGCATGAAGAAATGCTTATGATTTAATATTACACATACAAATTAAATCTTTAAAGTTTTATAAATGCTTTAACAAATAATGTAAATTAATATTTGTGAAAGAAAATATGGCAAAAGGTTGACTCCAGGTGGTCAAATTATGACTGCCTTCTTCTTTTCTTTTTTTGTTCTCTTTTCCCAAAATGTTCTAACCTTCTACATTAATTTTTAAGTTAAAAAGAAAAAAAGATGGAGATTTTAGATTATTATTCAGAGAAATAAGAAAAAGAGCAATTTTTCTAAAAATTACTTGGCTAACTCCTCAGTTCCTGCTGCACTGCAGTGCTTCCAGCCTTGCATGGAAAATTTTTTGCTATATATGGCCTCAAATTTGTTTTCCACCTTCTAAGCTTTACCACATGTACTTTTAATCTGGACAAAAACATGTCAATAAATAGGAAACAATAAAATATTCAGTTCATTGGCCCATAGGTTTTCCGTAGGAAGTGAGAATCATCTGGAATGTTTTTCTACCATTACTCTTGTCATAATCTTATATAACATTCAAGTTTCATTTAAGAACCACCTCCTCCATGAAATCCTTTCAGCCTCCCCAGCTGGAGGTGTTTTTCCCAGCCTTTGCAACTTTCCACTGGATTTCAGCCTGTGTTGCCTTACTTTTTGCTTGAACATTTGTCTTATTCCCTATGCTTACTCCTCTATCTCAACAAACACAAACGAGCACACATACAAACACACACACACACACTCACACACTCACATATTTAAAGCACTGATTGTGGGTAATTATTTTGCCCTGGGAGAAAAGCTACTAAAAAGAGTAATTTAGCAGTGCAATTTCTTTGTTAATTTGTAAGATGATTCCAGTTTGTAGAGGGTTATTATGTTTATTTTACATGGAAGAAAATAAGTTGAAGTTACCTGGAATAAAATGAGTAACAACAAAAATAAATTTTTTTCTCTCAGGCTAAGCTGTTTGTTGGAAAAAATCAAGAATTTAGGCTGTAAACCAAGAGATGGGTGGTTTGAGCCGTGTTTTTCCCCCACGCTCCCGACGTCCTCAGCTATAAGTTCCATGAGCACAGGTAACCCTGATGCCACTTCCACTTCCCCCACCAATGCTGCTCTTTACCTTGGGTCCTTTAGCATCTTTTTCCAGTGTCTGCATCCACACTCATCTCCTCCAGTACTGTTACCATTTCCAGCTCCTCTTCCACTCTCTTTCAGTCTATGACATTGATGAGTGACACATTTGTTACAGTCTCACTGTCCTTCTCCCTCCATGAAACAAATGTTCCCTCAGGTGATGTAGCGCATTCAGCCAGTTTTAAATCACTCAGGCTCTAAGTAATTTTTGCCCTCAAAAGGCAGCCCTTCACTCTGAAGTTTACCTCACTTTCATTTCAGGACAGTTCCCAAGTCCTAAGGAATCTGAGTCTGGAAATTTTCAAAGTGACATTTCCCAGTAGCCTTCTTCAATAAACCCTGAGCCAATCTTCAAAAAGAAATTTATATCCCTTGACTAATCCCCAGTCAAGAACGAGACCCTACTCTTCCAGGAGCACAAGTCTTCCCTTGTCCTGTATATATGGGGCCTTAATTTTTCTAATTTCCAATAACTTGACCTTGAGCCCAAGTCCCATTTCTATATGCCCCCTTCTCTGAACCTTTCTGGGGACCCCCAAAGAAAAACAAGATACCTGAGGTCCTGCTATGATTTTCAATTTCTGATATAGCAATGTAAATTTAGCCCCAGAGCTGTTCGAGGCCCTCTGTAATACAGGTATAAACTGGACTTCTAGAAGTTCAAGGTTACTGTGTATTGGTGATTGTGAAAAGGCAGGCCAGGCACAGGGGCTTATGCCTCTAATCCCAGCACTTTGGGAGGCCGAGGCGAGTGGATCACCTGATGTCAGGAGTATAAGACCAGCCTGACCAACAGGTGAAACTCCATCTCTACAAAAATACAAAAATTAGCCGGGCATGATGGCAAATGCCTGTAATCCTGGCTACTTGGGGGGCTGAGGCAGGAGGGGACGATTGCTTTAGGCCAGAAGATCAAGACCAGCCTGGGCAACACAGTAAAACCCCCATTTCAAAAATTTGCTGAAATGGTGACAATGGGTTCTAGATACTTGGAGGTTCTTCATACTATCATCTTTACTTTTACATATGTTTAAAAATTTCTAGAATAAAAAATGTGTAAGTGCAAATATAGATCTAAACTGTTTATCTTAGTAAACAATTCTAGGTACTTGGAGTTTCTTTATACTATCATTTTTACTTTTACATATGTTCAAAAATTTCTAGAATAAAAAATGTGTATGTGCAAAGATAGATCTAAATTGTTTACCTGTCTTGGTAAACTCCATGTCTAAGAACCTATCATGAGGGAACAATATAAATTTGCATTAGTTCATTTTCAGGCTGCTGATAAAGACATACCCACGACTGGGCAATTTACAAAAGTAAGAGGTTTATTGGACTCACAGTTCCACGTGGCTGGGGAGGCCTCACAATCATGGTGGAAGGTAAAAGTCAGGTCCCACATGGCAGCGGACAAGAGAAGAGGGCTTCTGCAGGAAAACTCCCCTTTTTAATTTCATCAGATCTCATGAGACTTATTCAGGATCACAAGAACAGTACAGGAAAAACTTGCCCCCATGATTCAATTACCTCCCACTGTGTTCCTCCCACAACACATTGGAAATCAAGATGAGATTTGGGTAGGGACACAGCCAAACCATACCAAAAATGTACAAAATATTATGCATATGTATGTTCATCATAGCATTACTTTAGATCATAATATGTTAAAAATCTAGTTGTATAGCATTAAAATATGTAGTAGAAAAATATTTAATGACATAAGAAAATGTTTGATATTTTATTTTACTGCTAAATTTAAATGAATCAGAATATATATGATTTCACTTAGTCAAAAACAAAATATGTATACAATAGATCTGACTGAATATACATAGATATGCAGATATTTTGGATATATGTCTAAATATAAACAATTTAGATATATATTTGCACATACACATTTTTTATTCTAGAAATTTTTGAACATATACAAAAATAAACATGTTAGTATAAAGATGATAGTATATGGTGTATATATCATATATATATAAACACACACAGTTATGTATATAAATACTATATATTACATATTTATATAAGTGCTGATATGTATTAGAATATAGGTGATGGGGGATGGAAACAGCAAACCACCATGGCAATGTGTATACCTATGTAACAATCCTGCAAGATCTGCACATGTACATCAGAAGTTAAATAAATAAATAAATAAAAATAAAATTAAAAACAAGAAAATGTGCTATACATTTATACCATGAAATACTACTCAGTCATAAGACCTGGCACGATAAAAACCCTAGAAGGAAATCTAGGCAAAACTATCCAGGACATAGGAGTAGGCAAGAACTTCATGAACAAAACACAAAAAGCATTGGCAACAAAAGCCAAAATAGACAAATGGAACCTAATCAAACTCCACAGCTTCTGCACGGCAAAAGAAACAGTGAATCGGCAACCGACAGAATGGGAAAAAATTTTTGCAGTTTACCCATCTGACAAAGGGCTGATATCCAGAATTTACAAAGAACTCAAACAGATTTACAAGAAAAAAACAAACAAGCCCATTCAAAAGTGGGCAAAGGATATGAACCGACACTTTACGAAAGAAGACATATATGAGGCCAACAATCATATGAAAAAATGCTCATCGTCACTGGTCATCAGAGAGATGCAAATCAAAACCACATTGAGATACCATCTCACGCCAGTTAGAATGGCGATCAGTAAAAAAATCTGGAGACAACAGATGCTGGAGAGGATGTGGAGAAAAAGGAACACTTTTACACTGTTGGTGGGAGTGTAAATTAGTCCAACCATTGTGGAAGACAGTGTGGCGATTCCTCAAGGCCTTAGAAATAGAAATTCCATTTGACCCAGCAATCCCATTACTGGGTATATACCCAAAGGACTATAAATCATTCTACTATAAGGACACATGCACACGAATGTTCATTGCAGCACTGTTTACAATAGCAAAGACCTGGAATCAACCCAAATGCCCATTGATGACAGACTGGATTGGGAAAATGTGGCATATATACACCATGGAATATTATGCAGCAATCAGAAATGATGAGTTCATGTCATTTGTAGGGACATGGATGAATCTGGAGAACATCATTCTCAGCAAACTGACACAAGAACAGAAAATGAAACACCGCATATTCTCACTCATAGGCTGGTGATGAAAAATGAGAACACATGGACACAGAAAGGGGAGTACTAAACACTGGGGTCTATTGGGGGGAAAAGGGGAGGGCCAGTGGGAGGGGGAGGTGGGGAGGGATAGCCTAGGGAGAAATGCCAAATGTGGGTGAAGGGGTGAAAGCAAACAGAACACACTGCCATGTGTGTACCTATGCAACTGTATTGCATGCTCTGCACATGTACCCCAAAACCTAAAATGCAATAAAAAAATAAGGAAAAAATAAAAAGTTACTAATAAAAAAAAAAAATACTACTCAGTCATAAGAAAGAATAAAATTATATCTTTTGCAGCAAAAAAATATAATAATAATGTATTAATATGTAGTGTATTATGATGCATATTATGTTGTATTATATGTGTATATATAATAAATTTATGTAATTTATATATAATTAATTTTAAATATATATATAGTTTTAGACACCAACATATATATTTAGTCAACTTCATATATATAGTTTTAGTCAGCTGGAAGTCAGAGATCAATATGCCACCATGGTCAGGTTCCATGAGGACCCTCTTCCTGACTGGCAGATGGCTGCCTTTTCACCATATCCTAACATTCTGGGGAGACGGAGACATCAAGTTCTCTGGTGTCTCTTCTTATAAGGGCACTAATCCCATCATAAAGGGCCCTCCCCTCATAACCTAATTACCTCCCAAAGGCTCAACTCTAAATACAATCACATTGTGGGTTGGTGTTCCATGTATGAATTTTGGGGATACAAACATTCAGTCCATAGCATATATCAATAGTAAAATAATTATCTCTAGAAGATGTACTATTTCCTTTAATATTTCTGGGTCTTCCATGTTTACTACAACAAATATACATGTTTTATGTAATCAGGAAGAATAAATCCACAATAAATGCCCATTTCTACGGCTTAGAAAGGCTTCTGTTTTCAGTTATAATAAGAACCAATTCTCCCACTGAAAATAACTTTAAAAGTTTGTAAAATATGAAAAAACAATTTGAATGAAGCTATCAAAATGCTACCAAGGCAGATCGGTTTGAGAGTCTAAGATTATGGAAAGAAAATTCACTGAAGTGATTCTGATATTTTTTAGTGCTTTTGCCTTCAATGCATTTGCTAATTCATAAGTAATGTGGGCAGAAGTGCTTAGAAACTGAGCAAAAACTGGAGAGTTAGAGAAAATTTGAGTAGAATTTTTTGCAGTCTCAGCAGCTATAAAGACATACTTGGACTTTAGGGTTTCCAAAAAAGTTAGGACTCAAAAGTTCAAGATCTTGTCCAGAAAGGAAGGTTGGAAAAGTGAACTTGGTACCTAGGGTCAACAATAAGTACCTGCTAAGAGGCTAAACATCTTAGCAAGGCTATTCACAATCTCACTGTGCTGGGCAGAGAACACATAGAGTTAAGTGTCTGCTTATTTGGAAGGATACTGACAAGCTACCTAAGACCTCTTGAAGAACTGTACCCTAGAAATTAAAGTGAAGTGGTAATTGATCAGCTCTTTAAACAGACAGAAGTCAAAATTAGAAACCTATTAAGCCCTGGTTAAATTAAGGTGATCTGGTCTTCTCTGGAGGAATATAATCATCTAGTACCTGTACATTATTTCATACATGATGTCTGATATTCAGTCAAAACTTACCAGGCATATGTATCAAGAGAAGAGAAAAAGACATAGAACAGATGATAAAAATAGACTCATGGGGATGCAAGTATTGAAGTTAATAAACAGGACATTTAAAATAAACTATAATTTATATGTTCAAAATTTAACAACAGGATAAAGAATTTC